TTGAGTTGAAAGCAATCCTTTTGTTGTAATTGACCAGCGACGTTATACATTTGTGCAGTGTATTGTACATGCTGACTTTTTCTCACCCAATATCGTCATTATTTATCCAATCCACTGATAACCTGACAAGAAGGAAGATGTTAAAATTCATAAAATTTCAGTTGACAAACTTAATATACTGAAAGTGAAGTGAATTTTATTGTTTTAGGACAACTTTAAATCACTTCCATAATGCTTTTAAAATGGAAATGAGGAACGGTAGTTGTTCAAAATTGCATAAAATTATAATAATGGTTAACTTACGTAATAATCCGAAAATGACAAATGACAGGTATTATGAAAATTCGAGATCGGAGTGCTTAATATCAAGCAGCTTGCTCCAAGTTGAATCATTTTTGGTGCCTGAAATTAGCTAACCAGAATAATGCAGACAGTCTGCTGTCTGCATTAGTCTGAATTCAGATCATTGGATGATGAAATAATCAGCTGAAATTGAGCAAGTTTGAACAGGTGCACAGGCACAGTTTAAAGGATATCAGGTCATTGTCAACAATTTTTGGTTGTGGCTGTGATAAAATACTGCTCATTTGAGCATCAAATGTATTCGATAATGATTTTTAGTAGCATTTGATCTTGTAACTTATGGTATAAAGAAAGCTACTTAAGTACATTTAAAGCGACACTCGTGACTTTGATTCTTGATCTGTTGAGTAAAAAGCTAAGAAGACGAAAAATCATGATTAGAATATTAACAATAATAATACATGTATATTGCAAAAACAAATTACTTACCATTAGTTGTTAAAAGATAATCAACCAGCATAGTAATCATAAGTACGAAAAATAAAAGTTACTTAATTGGTTGAATAGTAATGTTAATGAAACACAGATTTAGTTAATTTTTTTATAAGTTCGGAAAAATTCTCAAGAAATTGTAACTTCAATTTGAATTTCAGACTGAAACTTTCAAAAAAACATTGCAAAGAGCCACCTATTGAGGAACAATTCAATAAATTTTTATAGTCTGCTAAATTCAAAATGCATTAAAAATTTAAAGATTACAGAAAAAAATTATATTAGCATGAAAATTGAATCAGCTCGATAAGGTTAGAAATATAATAGTTTGAAGTTGATAGTTACATATGATGGACATATATTCGTATTCCAACTCGACCATAATTTCAGCATCAGTGAATCTATTATTTTTGAAAGCAAGAGACGATTGTAGATTATTTGAGTGCCGTTATCGTTTTGATGTGTTAAAAATCACTTCAAATTGCACGTAAATTTAAATTTAAATCTTGGAAAATCTGAGGATATTCCTATGAGCTATGAGATAGGTTCGAAATCAGATACACCTTTAGAAATGATATTTTCAGATAATTGATTGTTCAACTTATCAAAGAAAAAAGATGTAAATTGATGTAATTTCGCTTTAATGTCGTTATAAAATATTATAAATTGCTTTGGATTTTGTATATTAATAAAAGTAGAAAAATTATTTAAATAATATTTAAGAATTTACATTGTTGTGTATGAATGATGCTCTTTGAATGATGACTGGTTTTATGCGAACAGAAAATTTAATAACCGCGCTGAAAAAGCGATTAAAAATATTGTTTACAATTGAAAAGTTGTGAAAAAGAATGAGTATTTTAAAATTTGAAGATTGTTTTGATAGCTGTGCTGACAACCAGATTAAGATTTTACATTTTTCTCCGTGAATACAAATTACTGATATAGAATATTGCAAGATTGAACTCTTTGGCTTAAATAAAAACACAATTGTTGAGCAAATTATCACAGAAGCTAATAAGATGATCTAAAATGAAAAAAAGGATTATTCTTGTCATCATCTTCGCATATCCAATACGTAAACCTGATGAAGATATAAAAACAGGGAAAATAAATTGAAGATAACTAAAGATAATATAAGAGATAATATAAAAACTTACATTTCCACGACTTTCTGCTACTCCAAGTTTATCACCGCTTTTATTCCAGCACACTTCGAAAACTCCATCAGTTGCTTCAAAAGAATTAACTAATTGACCACTGTTAGTACACCATATATATACATGACTGTCGTGTGCTCCTGATGCTATAAGTTTACCATCAGGAGAGAATGCAATTGAATAAATAGGCTCGGTGTGTTTATGTAAAGTATGTAAACACAACCCTCTTTCAAGTTCCCATAAACGGACAGTGTGATCGAAAGAGCCACTGGCTATGTTAGCTGTAGTAGGTGACCATTTCACGGTGAAAATTGAAGCCTCATGCCCACGAAAATTTTTAACAAAGCTTGGTTGTTTAGTTGTCCAAATTTTTACTGTCTGATCGTCTGAACAAGAAGCCAAAAAAGTTTTATGAGGATCCCATTTTATCGAATTTACGTCCTCTGTATGACCCTTGAATGTTTTAGTAGGGTAAGGCTCTCCTACTTTTAGTATCTGAATGGTTTTATCGGAGGAGCAAGAAGCAAATGATGAATTTGATCTCCAATCTATTTCTAATACTGATTTAGTATGACATTTGTAATATTGAACGGCTTTACCAGTCGTAGCACTCCAAACAATAGTTGTTTTATCCTCACTAGCTGTTAAAAGGTAACTTCCTTTCTCATTCCACTTGACAGACAAAACGGGTGCCCTGTGACCATTTAGCTCATGAACTAGTTGATTCTCAACATTCCATATTCGGGCAATATAATCATGCGAACCTGTTGCCAGTAATTTACCATCGGGATTCCATTCTAGTGATGTTATATCTCCATGCGATGGACTTTTAACGCCATTTCTTTTAATATAATGTCTAAATACTATCTGATTCGCTTCAAAATCTGACTGTTGATTTAGATTCCAGATTCTGGCTGTACTATCACCTGAAGCTGATGCTAATGTATCTGAAGATGGGTGCCATGCACAGCTGAAGACGTCTTTTTCATGACCTCTCAATACTTTAACTCTTGAATCAGGAATTTCAATTGGGCCATTTCCATTATTTAATGTCTCTTCGGGCAAAATACCGGTTCTAGGTTGAATATGTGAATTTCCTGAAGTTGGTGCTGAACTTGGAGTAGTGTCCATAGGTTGGGGTGCGTTAGATGAGTTTGAAGATGATAATGTCGGAGGTATTTGTTGATTAACTGTAAATAATAAAATTGAGGGAAAATAAAATCAGAAATGTGGCAATCAAATTGGGAAATGCAAAAGTGACAATAGAGGAAACGAAGGATAAACATACCTGATGAAGCTGAAGTGGGAACTAAAAATGAAGATGAATCTTTTCGACCATTGGATTCAGTTTTAATCACTTCTGGTGTTGGCTTTGAAACGAAGGACTGCAAATTGTTACCAGATGCACCATTTTTAGATGAATTATTATTAAATGAACTATTATTCAATGTATTGTTGTTAGATGAACCATTGCTACGTAAATTATAGCTAGATGAATTGTTATTATGATCTAGTTTTGAACTACTCGCTGAACTATTAAATAAATTTTTAGGTACATTGTTAACTAAAACATTAGACGAATTGTTAATAGATGAACTCTTAGGTGTATGATTATTAGTCTTTATCACTTCGGGTGTCGACTTTGAAACGGGGCACACTGATGGTCCAGATTGAGTGGGTTCACTTGCAACAATTGAAGAATTGTTATTGGATGAATTATTATTAGACACATAACAGATGACGGATGAACTATTATTATTTGCATTGGCTAGTTGTCGCTGTCTTTGAGGGACAATGTCGGGTAAAACTGCATCAATAAGAGAAAGTTGAACAATATTCTTTTGATTATCATCTTCACCAATTCCAATTTCTGCTTCAATATAATGTAATCCTTTTTGAATTAAATTCAATAAAGCTGCTGCTGGAACAAGTGAGCCATTGATACTGGTCGAGGTAACCTGTGATTCATTTGCAAAGATGAAGGCGGAATGTATGAAACCAGATTCCTGAAGGTATCGATAAATAAGATAATTGACTTCATCACTTTTAATAAAAGACATGATTTAATACGGTAAATGTAAACACGATTAAAAAATATAAGTAAGATGACCTTACAAGTCATTAAAGCATGGATTAAAAATGTGAAAATTGCTTAAAATAAATGTAAAGTGACGTTATCTGTAAAGCTGACAATTGTTAATTTTTTCACAATCAATTTACCAATAGAGAAGAATTATCCATTGCTTGTTAGTTGTTGTTTTTTCCAAATGGGGAAAAATTTGAAAAATGCGCGCTTAGAAAAGGAATCGATTTACAGCTTTTCTTGGCTGTTGATACAACAAAGGCTACTTTACTAGTCTTGAAAAGGTTTTAAGGTTTTCAAAGTGAAAGTGTTTAAAGGAGCAAGAACATTCTAGTTGATTTATTTCTAAATTAGCCATTTTGTATTGGTCAACATTCATTCAACATTCACTGTTTAAGATCATGTCTTTTAGTAGTGATGAAGTCAATTACCTTGTTTATCGATACCTTCAAGAATCTGGTTACATACATTCCGCTTACACGTTTGGAATTGAATCACATATAAACTCATCCAATATCAATGGGTCTCTTGTTCCACCATCAGCTTTGTTGAATATAATTCAAAAAGGATTACAGTATACTGAAGCAGAAATCAGTATTGGCGAAGATGGTACTGAAAGGAATATTGAATCATTGTCTCTTATTGATGCAGTTTTACCCGATATTGTTCCACAAAGACAACAACAGCTAACCAATTCAAATAATAATAGTTCATCTAATAATGTGTCTAATAATAATTCATCCAATAACTCTTCATCAATTGTTGCAAGTGGATCCACTGAATCTGGACCAACAGCGTCCTCCGTTTCAAAGTCAACACCGGTAGTGATAAAAACCGAATCAAATGATCCACAAGGTTCATCTTCATTATTAGTTACCACTTCAGCTTCATCAGGTATGTTTATTCTTATTTTCCTCTATTGTCTCTTTTTGAATTTCTCAAATCGCCACATTTCTGATTTCATTTTCCCTCAATTTTATTTATTATTTACAGTTAATCAACAAATACCTCCGACATTATCATCTTCGAACTCATCTAACGCACCACAACCTATGGACACTACTCCAAGTTCAGCGCCAACCTCAGGAAATTCACATATTCAACCTGGAACCGGTATTTTGCCCGAAGAGACATTAAATAATGGAGACGGCCTAGTTGAAATTCCTAATTCAAGAGTTACAGTCTTGAAAGGTCATGAATCAGAAGTTTTCATCTGTGCATGGAATCCATCTTCAGATTTATTGGCATCAGGCTCAGGTGATAGTACAGCAAGAATCTGGAATCTTAATGATAAATCAAACGCTGTGGCAAATCAAATGGTATTGAGACATTGTATCCAAAGAGGGGGTGCTGAAGTTCCATCTAATAAGGATGTAACATCGTTAGATTGGAACTCTGATGGTACATTATTGGCAACCGGTTCTTATGACGGCTTCGCTCGTATTTGGACAACGGAAGGAAGACTGGCTTCCACATTAGGTCAACATAAGGGACCAATTTTTGCTCTGAAGTGGAATAAAAAAGGAAATTACATTTTATCCGCTGGTGTTGATAAAACGACGATCATTTGGGATGCTTCAACTGGCCAATGTACTCAACAATTCGCCTTTCATGATGCACCAGCACTAGATGTAGACTGGCAATCAAATACATCATTCGCCTCTTGTTCTACTGATCAATGTATTCATGTTTGTAAATTAGGAATGGGTCAACCTATTAAAACATTCACTGGTCACACTAATGAAGTTAATGCGATAAAATGGGATCCGCAAGGTAACTTTTTGGCCTCCTGTTCAGACGACATGACATTAAAAATTTGGTCCATGAAACAAGACAAATGCATCCACGATCTGCAAGCTCATAATAAAGAAATTTACACAATAAAGTGGTCGCCTTTCACAACAATATTAGCCAGTGCCTCTTTCGATTCTACTGTCCGTTTATGGGAAATTGACAGAGGATTATGTTTATATAACTTAACAAAACACTCCGAACCTGTTTATTCGGTCGCATTTTCTCCTGATGGTAAATTTTTGGCATCAGGATCTTTTGACAAATGGGTACATATATGGTCTACTTCAAATGGTCAATTAATTAACTCTTATAAAGGAACTGGTGGAATTTTCGAAGTGTGTTGGAATCAAAGAGGTGATAAGGTTGGAGCATCAGCTAGTGACGGATCCGTAAGTTTTAAATTGACAATATCTCTTTGCCAGAAACCTTTTTTCATTAAGTTTCAACTCACTGATTCCCTCTTTTTTTATATCTGTAACAGGTTTTTGTATTGGATCTCAGGAGGTTACCTTCTCAATAATATTATACTTTTCATCAATGCGTTTAATCATCGCTTTACTGTGACAAAACTTCAATTTTTTGGACAGACTTTTTTGCACCACATCCCCACTTCATTATTCACCACTTTTTTCACCATTTTGTCCACCACATCCACCACTTTTTAAAAGGACTTGCTTCCGCCATTTTAATCCACCATATTGTCCACCATTTTTGGATACGATTAGTAAAAACTTTTCGGTTATTGAAAGTTGAGTTACGAAAAGTGGTGGATGTAGTGCAAAAAAAAATGTCCCGAATTTTTACTGAAACGGTTGTATTATAATATAATATTAATATGATCTGTGATTTAATTATGAGTTAATAAATTAGCTTCACAATGAAACGATCTTTGATATTTTTGTGTTATGTTACTTGAAGAAATTGTCTTGGAATGATTTCTATTCAGAATCAAGCTAAAGATTCAATTGTTTTGCTAGTTTGCATGACATAAAGAAAAGTGCAAACCAAAAAGGACAATAGATTTAATTATATCTTCAATTCCATTTTCAACAATCTAGTATTAAGATTAGAATAATTAGAATAACTTAACTAGAGAAACTAGAATAACTTTAACTAATAAAGTTCTCACCTGTTTCACCAATCTTTTAATCTTTCTTCAGCTGGTAAACTGAATACTGACAATGAGTGGTATATTCACAGTTCACGAAAACAATTGTCTGTGAAAGACATTTAAGTCGATGTTCTAAAGGATTAAAAGTTGACAATCCAATAAGTCAGATAAGATTTAGACTTGATTTAGTTAAAGACCATTTAAAGTTATCACCTCGTGTGATTTGGATAAAGTTTTTGTTTACTTTCTATTTAAACCTAATTCTTTCGACTTTGAAAATTAGATGTTATCGTGACTGGGATTGGACTCAAAACACATATTGAAGACACTTGGAGCAAGTTTTTAAAAGGATTAAATGTTTACCAAATCCAACATGGCCAGTCAAAACAAGTTTCAGTTCCAGTTTGACTTCATATTTTTTTATCTTTGACAATCCTAATGCTACAGTTTTTTGACCACTTGGGCATAATGGAGCAAGTTGCGGCAAATGTTTCAAAATCAATCTACCGATTCAGCTAGTCTCGATTAACAGAAACACGCCTTAATTTTTGGTTATCCTTTTACATGGTCAACTTAATTAGCTTGAATCTTAATCGGGTAGAATCAGTTGATCAAGATTTTATGTTTGGCTTTATTATTGCAACTGATTTGTGTGTTAAAATACGAAGGGATTCCCCTTTTAAAAAATCCAAGGTTGCTACCGTTACGCTAATTGAATTGAAGCCAATATTGATTTCTAAATTACCTTTTTATTAGTATGATTAATCGTGATGAGCTGTGTCAGTGGAATGTAATTAACAGTATCTTTGAGATTAGACAGAGGGTGGAGAGTGGGTGAAGAGAAAAAGGAACGGATGATAGAATGATATCAACATTAAAGGTAATTATAATTTTGATCTGAGCAATACTTTCTTCAAATCAAATTTTGTTTCACTTTAGAGTGTCGACACAAATACTTGAACATTAAAGTTAATTGCTGGTTAATAGTGTGCAAGAACAACCAGCTACTTGTTATTAGTCGATTATTATATTAAATAAGTTTTGGCCACTTTAATAACGAGGATGTTACCTCTTGCTTTAGCTGACGTTATTCAATCAACCAAAGGTTTATCAATCTATTTCATTGGCTTTCTCATCTTTTGTCTTATGTGAGTTCATTTTTTGGTTTCACACTATTTCTGTGTAGCTTTGTTTGTGATTAAATTGTTTCAAATTAGACTAATTTGAATAGTCTTATTGATCGAAACTTGCATTGTATTGATCATTGAGACGAATAAACTATTGTCCAAAAAAATCGTCCAAATTTCTTGGGTTAAACCAGATAATAATTTCTGGTTTGTTTTTTTCTGTTTTGGTCTTTGTTTCGAATGAGTTTATCCTTGTTAATTATATTATTTTAATTGTTTATTGGTTATTGTATTAGTTACAATAGATGGAAGATAAGTTATTGGTACAGAAATGGGATTCCTGGGCCTAAATCAATCCCATTTGTTGGAAATGCTTTGGATTTATTGTTCAAGCCGAGCTTTGAAACTGAGCTAGACTATGTCAGAAAATATGGTAAAATAGTTGGGTAAGTTAAGTCTTAATTATATTATCGTCAAATCTAAATACCACTTGAATTACCTGGAAATTATGAAGTTATTAGCCAACTTATGTTTCCTTTGAATACAAAGTCTTAACAATTATACATATTGTAATTATTACAGTCATATTCAAAAGTTTAAAGCCAACGATTTGTGCAAAATCAAATCAAATTTAGGTACACTTTTAGGTTACCAATACTAGTCTTTTTTTTAGTATAATATTTTCACAGGTATTGTCTACTGATAAAACAAAAAATTTCACCTAAATTTATTTCAGTAAATCAGTGAGTGATTAATTAATTAGACGCTGTTAATTTTACATGGCATCTTTTTTGTCAAAAGTTTAAAGCATTTCATGAAAAATAGCGACAGCGTTCGAATTTTTTCTTCTAATTTTGCTATTCAATTGAACAATTTAAGAGCAGCCTTCGTGCAAAAAATCAACCGAAAAAATCGATCATGAACCAAGTTATGAACTTTCTCGTTCAACATTGGTTTCTATGGCGATAAATTTAATAAGAGTAATTAATCACGACCCGATAGGTCAAAATTTTTATAAATAATTTCACAAAAAAACAAAAGCATACTGAATAATTTCTGAGAAATTATGATGTCCGTAGGTCAATAGTTTCTCAACAAAATTCACATTATCTTGTTTCGTTCGAATTTTCCCATTGAACTTGATGGATAAAATTTAGCATAAACATTAAAACATGACTTCGCGGAGAACAATTGACCTAAGGACATCGAAATTTCTCAGAAATTATTCAGAATGGTTGGTATTTTCTTGTGATACCATTTTCAAAAATTCTGACCCATCGGGGCGTGATTAATTACTCCAATTCAATTCATCGCCATAGAAACCAATGTTAAAAGAGAAAATTAATAACTTGGTTAATTATCGAAATTTTTCGTTAATTTCAGGTACAAAATTGTTTCTCAAGATGGTTAATTGAATAGCAAAATTAGAAGAAAAAATTCGAACGCTGTCGCTATTTTTCATGAAATGCTTTAAACTTTTGACAAAAAAGATGCCATGTAAAATTAACAGCGTCTAATTAATTAATCACTCACTGATTTACTGAAATAAATTTAGGTGAAATTTTTTGTTTTATCAGTAGACAATACCTGTGAAAATATTATACTAAAAAAAAGACTAGTATTGGTAACCTAAAAGTGTACCTAAATTTGATTTGATTTTGCACAAATCGTTGGCTTTAAACTTTTGAATTTGACTGTATGTTGAGTGTATTATGCATTGTAAACTATCTTGCACATAAGATGAATGTTACTCAAAAGAATCTTCCTACTCTCTATCTGATCATCAAGAGTATTACGCTGTACCATTTGAACTGAATCTCATGTAATCAACATGATTACATATGCTGGTAGTTATTAATTAACTTTTATAAGTATGAATGAGAAATAAATGAATAAAACTTGGCAAAATCGGTTTGCTTTTTTGTCTTGAGTTCAACCATCTATGTTTGGTACATCTTTCGCTATTTTGGTCTATCACTGGTTCAAACAGATGTAATGATATATAATTTACCTTAATAGTGATCTGATAAAGTTCAATGATGTTTACAAGTATTTTAAATAAGTAAATGGTCGAGTAAGTGATTATAGTTGATGGAAATGTTACAAATTATAACCACAATCTAACGCTTTCAGATTTATCAGATATCCAACCAATCCCCTTTTTTATCAATTGATTTGATCTAAAAACAAGCTGACTCAGGTTTAATCGCACTTGAATTGTTTACTGATATACAAAAAGTAGTCAACTCGATCCAATTTTAGTGTAAAAATTTGATGCCACTTATTGAATAATCTTACAAGTTGTTAATCTCAAGCCATAAGGTACAAGTTGATCTAAGGTCGATTGAACCTAATTGCACTATTTTAACAAGCTTCGATACTAATGAAACATTGGACAATAAAACTGATTCAAGACAGCAAAACTCCTTTACATGTTCTGTGATTTATTAATAAGCCAAGATTGATTATTGTTTATTAGGTTTTTTTAATCTTTAAGTTCAATGCACCATCGATTTTCATAATAAGGTTTGTCGCCCAAGTTGCATTACATTTATGTTACAATGGATTGAATAATCACAAATCATAAAACTAAGAATTATAATTGTAACTTTTTTTGCTCAAATATTTATTATTATTGTTCAAGGGTAATGATGAAATTAGCTAAACATTTCTAACAAATCAAGGGCTCGTGAGTTCAGATGTAAGAATTACTATCACAATTCAACATCTTAACAGTCAGTCAAGATTGATAAACAACATATTATGAACATTACCCTGCTCTTAATTGAATAAAATATTATTGAGTAATTAATGATGAAAAATAATTAACTAGAAATCGTACAAAACAACAATTAGTTTCTCTCAATTGCGACTCAATCTCTATTGTTTAACTCTTTTATTAGGATTTACCATGGATGTCAACCTAACCTGATTATTGCCGATCCAGATTTGATTAAATCGATCACAGTGAAAGAGTTTTCCTGTTTTCCCGAGAGTTTCAGTTTTCCATATTTGTCACCCATTGAGCGTAAATTTTTGACTGTACTTTATGGAAACGAATGGAAACGCGTTCGCTCATTGTTGTCACAAACCTTTACCACAGGAAAACTCAAGAAAGTGTTTGAATTGATTAAAAGCTGCATGGTCAGTCGTCTTGATGATTTAAGGCTGTCACAAGATAACTTGGAAAGCTCATTTATCGATGTCAAACATTTCTGGGGACGTTATAATTTGGATGTAACAGCCAAAGCCTTTTTTGGCACTGATCTTAACGTTTACTCTCAATCAAAAGCCCAACAAGTGCTTTACAATTTTGAGCAAACATTTAAAACTAACCCGATTTCCATGATAATTAACATGGTTGCACCTGAATGGTTTAATAGATTAACTCGTCAAAGTGCCTTTAATACTGAAAATTTGGAATATTTGGAGAAATTAGCTGAAGCTGTGATTGAAGCTCGCAAGGAACACAATCCAAATCATAAATACAATGATTTTCTTCAACTGCTCTTAGAGTCTGAGGTGAATGAAGACACCAATGAATCTAATTGTGAGGGCAAAAGTGTCTCTAATGACATTAACAGACAAAGATTAAGTACCGATGAAATCGTTTCATCAGCAGTTATTTTTCTGATTGCTGGCTATGAAACTACATCAACTCTGTTATCTTGGACTTGCTATGAATTAACACGAAATCCTGATATTCAAGAGAAACTTTACTCAGAAATTGATAGTCTGACTGATGTTAATTATGAAACTATAAATGAGTGTGTTTATCTTGAAGCTGTTATCAATGAATCCCTTCGACTTCATCCTCCAGTTATACTTTTACCCCGAGTAGCCCATTCTGATTATCAATTACCAGGAAAAGGTTCACCCGTTTTACCCAAAGGATCAAAAGCTTTCATTTCCATCTACGCTCTTCACCATAATCCTGAATATTATCCAGAACCTTATGTTTTTCAACCTGAAAGATTTTTACCGGAAAATCGATCTAAAATTAAACCATTCACTTTCCTTCCCTTTGGTTCGGGACCTAGACTGTGCATTGGAATGAGATTTGCTTTAATTAATGCTAAATTAGCTTTGGCTCTATTCCTCAAACAATACAAATTAGTTGATAATGTACATACAACAAAAGACATTGAACACATCTTTCAATTCGGTGTCTTGGCTGCTAAAAATTTAAAGGTTGGAATTGAAAAAAGGAATTGAATATTTTTTATATTTCTTATGTAATTTTTTTGTGATTCAAAATTTTTAAATTATAATTATTTATTTTTTAAATGAGTAATATTTTTCTGAAAACAAATATCAGTTAATAATTTACATTTTAACCGCATAAAGTCATCGGATGATGAAAATTGACAATCAATTGAGAATATTTTCAATTCTATCAAAAGACTGATTTATCAAAATTAATTGCGTCTTTCCATCACATCCATGGAAATTTGTTCTTGTGGTACGATTTAAAAGCGACGTAACCTAATTTGTATTCACCCAATAGACTAAATTATGTCCAATCTCGATAGTTTCAGTTCGTTTCTTGAGAAATACTTTCTCAACATTTGCTTCTTTGGTGAAAGTAATAATGGAACCACTATTTAAAAGCTGCAAGTTTTCCAGAGGTTTATCAAGATTAGGTAAACGACGAGGTCCCATGACTGGATCTGTGTAGTGATAAACTGAAATAGCCCTTGGAGCTAGAGAGAAATAAAACGAAATTAATATTTATTTGGTGAGTTTGGAAGATAGGCAAACATTGGACAATCGGACAGTTTAAATTTACGTACAAAATGAAGATGCTTATAGGAAGAGGACTGAAAGTTGAGTTTGATTGAAATGTACAAGCAAATCTTATAACTAAATTTAACCTTCCTGGTCGGATAAAAAGTGTATAGTCATAATTTTAGTCTAATGAATCGTAAAATGTCACAGAGATTAACGTTCAAAGTCGTAGGAAGATTTACAAATTTTGAACTTGACCTGTTTAGATATTGTTTATCCTAACCAAGAGAATCACCGTTAAATTGGCATTGGTGGTTTTTCAACAGTGGTCAGTAAATCAAGGTTAAAAGTGTGATTACAAGTCAAATGAACAACCTCGATTAAAACAAAAATTATCAACAGTAAAGTTTATGACATTGGCTCAAAGTATAAATATTGGATATTTATGGTACAACTCATACCAATTTTGGATCAAGTTAATAAGATAACAGCTTATACTGATAGTCCATTGTAATAGTAATACCTATTGAAACAAAAATGAAAGTTTACTATTTGATTGTCGTACTAGTGATTAATTTATCCTGTATCTTTGATTTATCACAAACATCAAATCAGCCTAATGTTGTTAATTCACATAAGAATCGAAGCTATTACGAGATAAAAAAGTTGTTACATGGAAATGGGTTAACTTTGAACTGTGGAACTCAACTAAAATCATTAGCTGGTAGAGTTGTTGGTGGACGAGAAGCTGAAGATGGCGAATTTCCGTGGCAAGTTTCCCTGCAATTAAAGCACAGATTTTTTGGATATCGACATTTCTGTGGAGGAACCATTATTGGTAATCGTTGGATAGTTACAGCTGCTCATTGTGCTAATCATATTGATAACAATAATACGATTGCTGTTTTGGGAGCAATCGATTTAACACCGTTTCAATATCATGTTAAAGCAGCCATAAATTCAACATTTGTTCACCCAAACTACAATCAAAATACAATCGAGAATGATATCGCTTTGCTCAAGACTAGTGAAAAAATTGATTTAACTGGACAAAATTATCCAATTTCTTCTGCCTGTTTGCCTGAATCACTTGACCAACAACCGTCAGGTAATGCAATTGTAACTGGATTTGGGAAGACTTCAGAAAGTGGTGGTTCATCATCAACTCTTTTAAGAGCTGCCGAGATTCCGGTTATGTCTCTTGAAGCATGTAAGGAATACTATGGGAATAGAGTTTATCCTAAAATGTTGTGCGCTGGTTACAAAGAGGGTAAACATGATTCGTGCCAAGGAGACTCAGGGGGACCATTGGTACAGATAGTAGATAACCATGGTGTTTTGGTTGGTGTTGTTTCGTGGGGAATTGGTTGTGCTCGTCCAGCCAAACCAGGAGTTTATACAAAAGTTTCTAGCTACATTGATTGGATATATGAAACTATTGAAGCTAATCAATGACCATTTTCATTTCAATTTAAATTTTACCACTATTTGTTCAACATATATTTGTTAAATTAGATATAATATTCAAATAAATTTTAAGCATTTCGTTTTGCCCGTAAAAATAAAGAGTCAGAAAAGGGAAAATATTACAATTTAAAAATATAATCTTACTTTTGATTAGTTTACATTCGGCCACAATCCTAGTGCAAATACGGTCAATGCTATCATTATCATAGACAGGAATCTTCATACTGAAGAATGGTTTATATGGTTGATTATTCACAATATTCATGAGGACAAATGGATCATTGCGAAAAACAATGTAAGGCTCGAGAGGACAGCACTCTTCTTGAATTTTGGATTCAGCGGTATCAGCATATTTAACTTGTAAATCTTCCAAATCCAGAGTAGATTGAAGATAATTAATATTTTCATTAAGAACAGAAAGTTCATCAAATGGTGCCGTTTGATTGAAAACTTGATCACCCTGAGTTAAAAGCATTTTTCTTCTAGTTTCTGCAAAAGGCATAGCTTTTTTCATGTACTTTTTAAGTTCACCAAGTTTGCCCAATTTTTGGGCAATCACAGAGTTTTCAGGAAGAGTCAATCCATTTTCAAGGTGAAGATCATGTAGAGTGGAAATAATGATAGCTTGCCACTGAGGAAACTTTTTAGCTACATAAATAACTCCATGTGTAGCTTTATTGATTTTTTCACCTTTATTTCCCTTGTTTTTCGTGGTCAGGTAAGTCTTTAAGCGAACTCTGAATGAATGACAGGCTTCGAACAAATAATCTAATGATTGTCTTAAAACAAGACTAACAGGCTCTATTGATGGCCAACTTGCTTTCATTATTGAATCTTTAAGTTCTGGTTTTTCCTATAAAAGATAATCAAAATTTAGAAACCGTTCAATTATCCAAAACATAGTAAAAAATTGCATATTTACCCTTCTCAAAAGAGTCCAGACAGCTTCACAAATATGAGGACAAATTGGGCTCAAGATAATTGCTTGAGTTTCTATAAATTTAAGAACCAGTTTTCGATTCATTCCATTTGATCCACATAGTTCACGGTATTTATCACGAGCATCTTGATATTCAAAAAAGCCTGTTTTCAAAGCTTCTTTAAACATGGTTCCTTTGTAGTGTCCATTTGTTTCGTTAATCAAATAATTCATTTGATTGTTGAATGCTTGATCAGGGAAGTTGGGGCTTGAAGAATTATCATCTCGAAGTTTCGTTGAGAGAGAAAGCATTTCTTTAGTCCATTCCATGAAATTAAATAAACGCAATAAGCCGGTATCAGCTTGTTTTTCAAGGAAATTGGCATCTTCAATTCCATCACCAGCGTCTGCCAGCGCGAATCGAACACCATCAGCACTAAACTTGTTAATAGCTTGTTCAAGAGTCATGAAATTTCCCGTGGATTTAGACATTTTCTCGTTATTTAAAAGTAGATGACCAGTTGCTCGAATTCCTTTTGGCCACTTATCAGGTTCATTTTCCCACATAGCACAATGATTATACATAAAGAATGTTAAATGGTTTGCGATTAAATCTTTACCAGAACTTCGTAGATCCACACCATACCAATAAAGAAATTCTTCACGAAGTCTATCTAGTTTTTCTTTTGGTATACCTGCTTCTTCTGGGTAGGGTTTGTTACTAAGAAAAATATAATCCCACACTTCTGGATACATCATCGAAGAATCAATGCCAAAAGAAGGTTCTTTACCGTAAATATCTTTATGGAGCAAATGACATACGGTATAATAGGCCATATAGATGGTTGAATCGGAAAGGGACTCAATCAGCCAATTCTCGTCCCAAGGTAGTTTGCTTCCTAAGCCATATGTACGAGAACATGCATATTCATGAAGCCAGTCGAGAACCGATTCAAAGTTTTTACGAACTTCGTCTGAAAAAGTCTCTAAATTAGCGAGACATTTTTTAGTCAGTGCTTTCCAACCTTCTTCTCCATAATCAAGATACCATTGATCACAGTTTGCCACAACGCATTCATCACCAGATCGAGAGATAACTTGTTTCTCTGGCTCCATGTAGATTAAAACATCACCAGAGTCTATTAAATCTTTTTGGATACTTTTCTTGATGTCACAAACTTTGGAACCCTTATAAGAACCAACCAACATTACTCCTTCATAAAATCCTTTGAGGTAAACCCTCTCTTTTGCCTCTTTCAATTTGTCAGCGTCATTTTGACTTTGGATTTTCAGTTGTTCACAAACAGTTACTGCACTTAGGTCACCGAAACCAGGGATTTCGATTATAGGAACTGGTTCGAAAGGTAAAACCATTTCATCTTTGATACCATATTTTTCCCGAAGAGCTGCTTTCTTTTTAATGTCTCGAAGAGCAGCAAAATCATCAGGCGAGTCTGATGGAACACTGGTGACAACTCCAGTTCCTTTGTTGTCTTTGATGGTTAACATAGGTAGAGTATAAACAAACTCATATTTAGCTAAAGGAACTTTCAATTTACACCCAAGTAAATCATTTCCGATCAATTCTACGATATGCCCTTCTTTGATGATCCCTTGATAAAACATGTTCCTAGCAGCTCGTTCAGTGCAAATATAGACTTCTTCTTCTTTAGTTGTAGTTGCATCAGAAATGACTGCAATATATTTCAAGTCTGGTCTTAGCCAACAATTTGTTTGTCCATACATTGTTTCAGGTCTTAAGGTAGCAGCGACTAAATAAATCTTTTGTTTGAGATTAGGTTTAGGTAGTGCTTTGGACAGTTTGGGCGGTATAGGCTCAATCAATTTCATTTTAACCAAAGTATACTCTTGCGGACCAACACCTTCACCACTTGCTCGATCATGATCCATACATGGTTGTCCATCTTTTGGTGAATAAATACAGTATCTTTTTCCATACTTGATTTTGTTTTGATCACGAAGACGTAAAAATTGCCATCTTACAAAAGAATCATAGTAAGGGTTAACATTGGTGGTGATGAAAGATCTTCTCCAGTCAACATGAGCGCCAAACATTTTCAAATCTTTCATACAATGTTGTGGAAAATAATTTAACCAGTACTTTGCATCAGTAAATTTAACAATTTCCTCATCTTTTAATCCCAGTGCTTGCATAATTTGCCACTGATAACGAGCCGTGCCACTTTTAGCAGCTGCTTTACTTTTCTTGCCCTTTGCTTTATCTTTGATAATAGTTTCATCTTCTTCCTTTTTGTCGGTGGTACTTCCATCATCTTCAGGAAACACTGGGGGATATCCAAAAACTTCAACCTCTCGTTTTAATTTATCAGCGCAAGCTTTAATCGGCATACCAGTACAATGAAAACCAAATGGAAACAAGCATCGCCGGTTCTTGAGCCGCTGATAACCTATAGTAAACTGAGAAAGAAAGAGAAGACATTGAGTGAATTTGATTAATAATGTATTCAAAAGACAGCTTACCTCAGTTTTAGAAAGGGAAAATGAATGTCCAAGATGAAGTTGACCATTCATATAAGGATAGGGCCAAGTAGCAAGAAATTTATTTTTACCACCTTTTTCACGAGTTGATGGAGCATTTTCTTCAAATATTTTCTCACTTTCCCATTTTTCTTGGATATGTCTCTCAAGCTCGAGATATTGTCGAAGTTTATAATCAGCTTTTCTTTCCATGATGGGTTTTGGAAATTATTTCTGACAATTGGGAAACACCACTAACAAAATACCAGTTAAGTGACACGTTGAAAACAACAACGACTCAACAAAAAAGCAAGCTGAAAATCACATGGATCTTTAACTTCAGTTTAAGATGGCAGCACTACAAGTTTCTAACAAATTTACCATATTATTGTTAAACAATTTACATGACAATTAATTAATCTTTGCAATTAACTAGCACCACAAATGGGCAATCAAATTTTTAAATAAATATTACAACGATTTATAAATTGTGAATGTTATTTTCTTGCTTTGATTAATACTTAATAAAGCAACATACAAAGTAAGCTTGAAAGTCTGAAACCTACCAGCTGTAAAATCTAACCTTTAATTTTGTATTCAGTACTGTGTGAAATGCCATCACTTAATTTGTAACTATTTGGGTAATTAATTTTAAATTTTACCTGACCCTAGACAAAGCGACCTGCTTCGCAATTACTGTCTGTCAGTTTTCATTTGACTGGGTATTTCCTCACCATTCAAATATGCTATTGTTAGTTGAAAATAAAATTCATTGGTTGATTGTATGTTATGATTTAAATAGATTCGAGATAAAGTCAGTGCAAAAGTATCGGGAAAATTCATTTTAACTATGAATTTCGACGATTTGATAACATTTATATTTTAAGTACAAACACAAAATGCTAGCTCACTTTACCACAATGAGATTCATTGGCAGTCAGTAAAATTCTAGGAAACGACCTATGCATTGCAGATCATTGAAAACATCAGATTCGTTCATTTTGATGAAAACAGTTTCAGAATAATAACACCTACTTCTGCTTCCAGTTCATTAACGATTGTTAAATTCAGTTCGAAAAGATGAATTATTAAACAATATTTATAATTGTTTAATTTAAACCAATCATTTGCCAAGTTCACTAATGGATCACCATTAATCAAATGAATCTAAACTAAATTCACAATTTATCTGTTTAGCCAAAATGTTGTGAGATTCAATCCGTTGACTAGATTTAAGAGTTTCTGAACAACAAAGCCAGACATTAAAGCTTATTGCAAAAGTATTGTTCGTCGAGCATTCACAGGTTTTAGCTTCGAAATAAAAAGATCACTCTACGATCATAATTTAGATTCATAGTGCATTTATTAACGATTAATTAGACTCGATTTCAATGTTAAATCTTGATCCACTCTGAGATATTCATGGTTTAGTTCATGAAATTCATTTATAACTCTATTTTGCAAATGTTAATGGTCTAAAATATGACAATTAACTGAGTGATAAAGAAGTATAAATTTAGAAATTTGAATTCAAATTAACAAAGTAAGTTAGCAGTTCGTGTTGGTACTTAAAGTACTGATAAATACAGAACAATCTTCGTTCTTCAGTGATGAATGGATTTTCCAAATAGTTTTGTACAAAGCTTAGGCAAGAAATATAAACACGAAATTCATTTAGAGCATCGGTCAAGATAAGCTCTTCAATGAATATTGTCAACAAATAGAGTCACATTAGAAGCTGTCCGTGATTTGATCAGCTGATCTCATATCGAAGCTCAATTTTTCATTGGAAATGTTGCAGATTCAATTTTGAAATCACTCATGATTCATGATATTTATCTAGGCAATCTTGAGATAATTTAAGCTTCAATCAAGATGGATAATGAGTATGTGTTAAATGTGTTTTATGAAACTGCGTATATTGTTAATCTAGTACATTTATTTCAGAGGTGAATCTAAAGGGTGTAAATATAATTATTAATACTTCCAAACTGGCGGAGCTTAAATTTTGATAATCACAATCAAAAACATGATAATCAAGATAACTAGAGTGTTTAAATCAAAGCGAAGTTCAATTTTCTTTCATATTGATGCTTCAGCTTGGATTCAACATTATCCAACTCAAAATTTCTGTATAGAGAAGTGAAAAGTATTATTTTTATAAATAGTGATTGATATTGACATGGCACAAAGTATACTTTTGTCAATCGTTTTATCCACTTTGATTTTGCTTCATTTGACAACAACAACTGAAGCACATTGGAAACAATGTTTCGATGATTCGTGTCCGATAAAAAACTTTAAATTTAAAAGTAAATCCAGTTCGTGCGACATTTCAGGTAATTTGGATAGCGCCTCAACAGCTTACTCTTTAAATGGCGATGGAGTCAAGTTTGAGATGAGCGCTCCTGCATCTGGCATCCCTGGTCAGACAATCGAGGTTGCATGGGATGAGGACAACGTTTTATTTACTTGTAGTCTTCGTGAATCTAAAGCTTACAATCCGACTATTACTGATTTCAATATCGCACCAAAAATAAATGGAACTGCAATTTATTTCAATGATAAACTCTACTTTTCCTGGGCTATAAAGATAAGCAACTCGACATTTCCTTATGAATTGATTGACCCACCTCAATATTACCTCTCAAAACGTGGATATCAAATCTTTTACAACTTGACCCAAACTGTACCTATTGCTGCAGCCAACTACGATCAGCTACCTGAAAGTGTTGAGCCATTTGTTGATGGATATCAATACAAAGCTGTTGGATCAGAAAAGTATCTGTTGATTGCTAGAGTAACAAATAAGACAACTGATTTCTTGTTAAAAGTTAATGAAGAGACTAAAGATAAGAGATTTGTTGAAGTTAATCTAAAAAGTGACATAAGCATAAATGTTGAGTGCAATTTCGAGAAAGGAACCTTTACCATGTCCACAAAGGCTTATGGCATGAAAAGCAATGTATGGTATCTGCATGTTGGGAGAATCGATGGAGATGAATGCCTCTGGTCATTATCTGATTCATTTGAAGTTCGTGAGTTTCCAGTGAAACTCAAGGAAACAGCTTATGAATTACAGATCATTGAAAACAAAAGATTTGTTCATTTTGATGAAAATAATTTCAGAATAATAACACCTACTTCTGCTTCCAGCTGATTATTAATCGCCAAATCATTGTTAATTGTCAAGCTATTTTCTGTAATCTTCATGTAACCGAAAGTATTAATACTTGGACTTTAATCTTTCACATTTGTTAAATTCAATTTGAAAAGATGAATTATTAAACAAGATTTATAATTTTTTATTTGAAACAATCATTTGCCAAGTTCACTAATTTATCACTATTAATCAAATGAATCTGAACTAAGTTCACAATTTATCTGTTTGACAAAATGTTTGGCGATTTAATCCGGTGATTAGATTTATGAATCTCTGATCAACCATACATTAAAGCTTTGAATGAACTTCAACTAATGGTTTTTCAATATGGAAGATCATGGTTCGAATCTGAGAATTTCAAGTGTATTGTGGAAGCTGACATTGTTACTTTTTCCAGATGACCTTACCCATTTACAGCTAATCAATTTCCGCATATTTGCTGGTAAGCATAGATTTGTCAAAATATAAATTGCGATAGAATCTGTAAATAATTAGTTAAGCTTAGCATTTCAAGTGAAAAATATTTCAATGATTAAACCAAATAAGGTTCAGGTAACCTTCAAACTTCCATCTCTAAACAAATTGTCAATCTTGAAATCGTTTGAAAGGAAAGTCTTGCCAATCTTGAATGGCTGATAATCACAGTGTGACATTTGAACAATTAACTTTCGAAATCAATTGTTTTTTTGTCAATATTGTGCTTAACAACTGGAACTCATAATTTATCATAAAAATATCTCTAAATCTGATTCAAAGTTAAGCTGATCTAACCTTCAACTTTAACACTTCAAGGTTTCTGATTTAATCAACTTTCACAATTTTTGTCACTAATTCATCCAATTACTAATAAACTATAAACATTATAACCAACTGCAATAGTAATGAGACAATCAAAAGCTAGAGCTCACTTTGATTTGCATTAAAGTTTCAATCTCTTCTTTCTGTTCATTGAACTTGATTAGCATTGAATAGCGCAAAGGTTACTGTCAGTATTTCTTACTGTAATAAGAAACCAAAAGACTGACAACAATTATAATCGAATCAAATTAGAGTGAATGAGGAAAGCAACAATTAAGATTAATAATCATTAAACTTTTTTCTTCTTCTTTTTTATTGTTTTTTTTCTTTCCTTTTTAGTTGTAAATTTTTTCTCACTTTTACTCCCCCATTAACCTGAAGATTTTTGATTATTTGCAGGTCACAATCTTTGGGCCATTCTTTGTGAGATTATATCTTTCCAATACAATGAATTGATTTGAAAATGTTACAATTCAAGTCTTTCGTATTAAATTACGTTTCAAAATCGAGGAAGCTTAAGTTGTCCGAAACCAAATTTAGGAGTTCAAATGAACTTTTGCCAGTAATGAAACCAACATTTACAAAATGATGTCTCTTGAAGTCAATCTGTTTCTTCCGTTACCTGTCTGATTCAAACCAGTAAAATTGGCTCAACCAATCAGCCTCTTTTTACAGATAATTTTAAAGGTAATGTTTCAATAATTGATTGACTGGAAGATCAAACTAAATAAATTGACAGAGCACTTCCGTTGGGTTTCCAAAGATATAGCCTGAATCTCCCATAATTTGGTAGTTCCTTTGATTTGGAAAGAAATGTGGTCGGTGTTCCTGTTATTTGCTTATCTATTCCAATAACCTTTTGAGTTCCTATGAATGTGACGAATTGTTGTCCTTCGATATCTTGAAACGGCTGGAAGACGCTTGACATTCAAATTAGTTAACCACATGGTTATCAAGGGAAATTGTTTGGTAAAAGAGTGAACAATCTTTAAATGGATTCGAACAGGTAGGCTGGCAATGATGGTAGTTCAATGGAAACATCAGGACCTTTTTGTCGACTCAACCTTAGGCTCGTCCGATTTCTGTGGTGAAATTAAACACTAATTAATATTTCAGCAAAATTAAACATATCGATATGGTTGATCGGTTGAAATTGATTAAATTCAAGTTTAATCTATTGACTTGAACCTAACCTAAACTTAATTAAAATGGTTACTATTCATGCTTGAATGGGTGTTGTAAATCAACATTACCAATCGTTGTCAACAAAACAACCTTACTGATTATTTTAAAATTTTTGTCGTTAATAGTTATATTCATGGTTACAATTAAATTGTAGACTTTTATTGTAATCAATTGATTTCTTGATTCACTTATTATTTATATTAATTGATTGTGTACAACAATGTATCAGTCTGATGAGATATTCAAGTAACTTACATTAGCCAATACATCTGGATATGTGTAATAACATCCTTTCAATGATGACAGTTGCTACCAGTGATCAGAATTGTTGTTTCAAGTATTGGTCAATCATTTACAGCTGAACTGAAAACAAAATTAAGAAATAATTAGTATATTTTGATAGAACTGATTCATAACTGGATAGTTTAACGAAGTGAAGAGCACATTAGACGAACCAATATGTTGAAGTCGAAAGCAGTTGAAGTGAGTTTTTCACCAATTTCCATCACTAGTTGATTCTTGCCTTTGGATGGTAGATAACATAGACAGTAACACAACATATGAGAATCTAAATTAAACAAGGATTAATTTGTAATTAAAACCGTAAAAAATCCCAATATCAACATTGCATTCAACAATTGTCTTTCAATCTGCCAGCTGACAGAAAGGGGTATAAAAAGGTCGAAAGAGGGAAGAAATAAAAAGGAGGGAAAATATAAATGTTCAAATGTAGGCATTTAATGTAATAATTAATGTAAACATAAAAAACAAAAACTGAATCAAGACAAGATTGATTGCTGTTCTATTAAACTTTAATCAACTACCTTTTGGTTGTCCAATTAAATAAATTGATTTCTCTATTTCATTAAAGACCTGACCTTAAATAAAACTCATAAAAATGGTTACTTTTAACGCAAGTAGACACTAAAATATTGATAGGAAATCATTAAACGCTGATCAATATCCAACAAACATCATCAGTGTTAATTGTCATTCAATTGATAGCTCAAAGTTATCATTAAACACACACATAAACATTTGAACGAGTTTCAAATCACATGTTTAACCGTCTTGATCGTTCATAAAAACATTACAAGAATTACGTATTGCTTTCATAAGTTGCTTCAGCTATGTTTACCTGATTAACACACAATTAAATACATTCTTAAATCTCCATGGTCAATGTAGAGATTAATAGAAAGATTGAATTTTATCTGTGACCTTAAAGAATCAACTTTTATCCGTCCAAATGTGTCCTTGTTGAACCTTGTTTATGTCTTTCATTCCTCACTCTTCTTTCTCTTTCTTTCTTCTTCCTTTATCCTATCTCTATCCATTTATATTTCCCACCTCCTCCTCCCTCTCACCTTGAATCTTAATCTTAACCCTGTACAACAATCCAAGAAGTAAACTTATATCTCCTCCCCAAAAGTACCTGAATTAATAAAGATCAACCATCATTTTGATGATTGGTTATTATTTGAACTGTAGCTAACAGTTTAGTGTCTCTTATAAACACAAGTGTAAATGGTGAGAAAGCAATTGTGATTCAACAATCTCGACATTAAAGTCAACTTTCACTGAATAACCCAAAATTTTGGTTCAACCAATTGTACCTCAACAGGTACAATTACAGTTAGGCTTGGAGTTTTTGTTTGTCACCCAATTGTTTGGTTATTTGTTTACCAACCACGAAATACTGCATTGATCTCACGCATTGTTGGACTCGCTGCTGTTAATGTTTCTGTTGTTGACAACTGAGGCCATTACCATGTTAACCGTCATTCATGTTTAATTTCAACTTACAATTGGTTTAATATTAATCCACAATCGACACTTTTTATAATTTTTGTGCATTTCCATTTTTAACTTGACTTTTTGTGTTGACCATAAAGAAGCAACATGGCAGCCATGGATCTTGTGAAAGCCATTGGAATCTTAGTAATATCTTCCTGTTTTTTATTCAGCTCACCATTGGTACAAGGTGACAGAATTGATAGCTGTGATATTGATTCACTCGATCAATGTGCCAAACGGTTATTTGGCTACGGTGATCCTAATTATACTTTTGCAGCCACAGAAGAACAGGTTCTTCAACAATGCAAGTAAGTAACTTAACCCAAAATCTTTTGGGTTGATTCATTATCATTTTAATTTTACTTTTTCCAATCTCTTTTATTTCCTAGAACCTCCAAGGAAGCTGAAGTTTGTATTCGTCAATACAATAATCGATGTGTTAAACCATTTGCTCGTCAGTACATTAACATTATGCTTCGAGGTCCATCTAAATCGTTAAAAGAACGATGTAGCTCCAAGAAAGGCATTGAAGGTAAGTAGCGTTTCTCTTGATTTCACCTTACTATGGAAAATTAAACCATGTTCTTACATGAGATTTTTGTTACATTTATTTTATCACAATGAACCAGACTACCTAAAAAACACAGATTGTTTAAATGCCACTAAAAAAGATCTGGACGTTTGTACACACGATGTCATTGAAAATTTCATGCTCGTTCCAAAAACCAAGAAACCTGAATGGATCCCATTATCTTGCTGGTGAGTTGTGTCAATTGTCTGACCTAAACATGTTGAATCAGTTGATTTCAAATTAGGCCTGAACCCAATTGCCTTCAGCAGTCACAGTAAACACAATGTTAAAATGCTTTTGTCGTTTAGCTTTTTTTGTTTCCATTCACTATCATGAAAAAGTCCAAAGAGGTTCTCAGCTGTAGGTTATGAGGAAGAGATAATTGAATGTTAAAATAATTTATAAAATAACTCCATCATTTCAAATTGTTGTGACTTACTTTTGTTACCTTTTTTCAATACCATTTGTAACTTAACCTGAATTTAATTGTTGAATTGAGACCAAGTCAATTTAACAATTTAAACGATAATTGTTTCATTTTTTTTAATGCTATTAACATTAACATTAACTTTCACTTCTTTTTTTATTACAGCTATCTGTCTAAACTGGAGAAATGTTCAAAGAGTGCAATTGAAAATAAATGCCCTCCAAATCAGACTGAATACACGAGTAAAGCCATGAGAAATTTAAGAGGAGATGTTCTTGATTTATTCTGTGACCATGAACTGGAATGGGGAACCGCAAAATGTGATGAATTTGTTTCTAATTTACCAGTGAAAGAGATTAAAACGAAAAAACCAGATTCTGTATTGCCGGTTATACTTAACTTAATGAATCGGTACATAACTAAATCATAACACAGCATTGTACAGAAATTATTTTTGTTATATTAAGTGCAATTAACTGCAAAAAACCAAAAATGATCTACATATCCATTGATTTTTATGTAATTTTATTCATTTGAAAGGTAAATCATTTATTAAAGTTGAATTACAATTTAAATCAATCCAAAGATTTATTCAGCCTTTCAAGTCCTGAAATTCAGGTTATTTTAGGATCAACAAAAAGCTATTGAACATAGTTGGCTATTGTTTTTATTTTGATTATAAGGATTACAATCCTTTCAACCCCAAATCTTGACCAAAGATTTAGACTTTACTTTTAATGAAAGTGTGACTAACTAATCTGGTTCAATTGGACTTGTACCTTGATTCAGAGTTTACACAGCGTGACGCTCATCAGTTTAAAACAGCTAAAGCCTTCTTTAGCTTGATATCAAGTTCAGAAACACTGTTTTTTATTTTCCCCCTGAAAATAGCTATTTAGGACAATTCAGACCAAAGGAATCAAGCACAAAACTTGAACTTGTCACTAAATCACAATTTAACAATTTCAGAGAAAATTTTGTCTCGTCTGAGCTCCAGATGAATTCAATTAAAGAAGATGAAATTGTTTCGTCTAAAATTGTCCCCTTTCATGAGAAGGCTAATGTTTTGAGTTATTATCGATCTTCTTTAATTAAAATGGGTTATCAAAGGATGAGAGCGGATCCCATTGAAAATCTGCCTCCTCGCCGATTTGCATATAATGCATGATAAAATGATTTTATAAATTAGACTTGCGTTTGCTGTTGCTGATGTACGCTGAAAATTCACTTTATGTTCATTTCGAGTAATTTTTAGGTACAACTTATCACAGCCTTTTCTTGATAAAATGTAACTCAGATAAATAATGGAAGAGACTTGGGTGACAATTAATCAAACCATTATCTTTATTATCTTCATCACGTTTAAAAGTTGAACCATCAGTTATACACCAGTGATGGTTTAATCATATGGTAAAATCAAGTAAAGCGTAAGATAAACTGTCGTGTGGATTTATATCGTGCGATAAAAGGATTTACATTGAAAGAATTGATTTTTTTTTTATTTTCAAGGTTATTTCGTTGTAAAATGATTCGTTGGATCAAAAAATTACAAAAATATGTTCAATTTAATCAACATGCAACATTTCTTTCTAGACTTTGGTAATTCTCTGCAATTTTTGGCTAATAAACATTGGAATATCAAAAATTAAAATTCTTTTAAGTAGACAATTCATTTTCACAGTCTACTTCTGTGATTTGACGCTTATTTTGACAGCAACTAACGTTAAGCAAGTTTCAGGTCTCTAACCATTACAGAAAATTACTGATTTTGATGGCAAATCTGACCACACAACTTTACAAAAGGTGATCGATGTTCCAAATTTGACATCGATTTCTCGCAATCTGTCGATTTAAAAAAATTTTAGCGAGAGCATCAAATCAGATGTTGATCAAGTTTGGTAATGTGATAAATTGGTTTTGCTAAACTCTCTATGGGAGTATTTCGAGTGAAAAGAAGACAGTTTCAGCATAATTTGATTGAATAGTGAATTTAAATGGTGCAATGGCTCAATACATCAATTTTAGTTCATCTTCAACTAAACAGCGTTCAATCGCTATTGGTGGTATTGCATTAGTATCCACTCTAATAACAATTGGAGTTGTAGTTACAGTTAACATTAAACATAAATCTTCATCAACTAACAACCTCGAACTTGGTAAGTTTTTCGTTTCTTACACAAATAATGAATAATTGTTACTCTCTATTCGTATTTTATATTCTTAGGCGAGGCTAAAATTAAATTCATTGAGCCTCAATGGATACCATACGTTTATAGAAATACTTCTCTTGTGAATGCCTTCGTTGCTGGTACTAATAGCCAGTCCAAATCCATTTACGTCTGTCGAGTGGACTTAGTTCGTAACCCATCGGACTTATTACCTGGAATGTTTGATCCTGGCAAGGGATGTGTAGTTACTTATGGAGGAACTTCTCGCCGTTATCTTCTCGCTTTTGAAATACTCGTAGCAAAAGATCCTTCAGTACTTGTATGGGAATCCGATGCTTATGGACATGCACCTATTGGTGCTTTAAGTGGAGGTCTTTCCGGGATAAAAGAAGAACTTCAAATATCGAGAGTCAAAATTGGTTCGGGTCAATATATTGGTAAAGTTCATGGGCGACATTCAATGGCTTATGTTTCATATGACGGCAAAGAAAAGGCCGTTTCAAGTTATCAAGTTCTGTGTCTACAAGATTACAACTTATGAAACATCCAACATAAACCAAACATTATTAAATTAAATAGTTCGCTTCCCTCCATTCGCTTTAGATTGTTTTCTCCAACGTAACATTTTAGGGCCATTTAATAACATTTATTAATAATAATCATTTGGCGGACAATAATTCCCATTGAATTAACTAAAATTTAGTTAAACTAATAATTAAATAAAAAGTCTTCGTCCAATTTACCAAGAACTAGTTCCAGTCATTTCAAGTTACCATTTTGGAGTCTAAATTTCAACTCGACTCAATAACCCATTTGTTGAAGCAAAGAGTTTGTGCTGCCCTTCTGACCATTGTTAAGAATAAGAAATGGTTTTGTCAGGGACAGGGAAATAGACAGAATAAAGAAAGAGGATAATAATTTTGACCATTTCTCTTTCTCAATTTACATGCTTAATTTTTGAATGTTAAATGTTTACATACACATTCAATCGTCATCGAGAAAACACGAATTCTTGATGAAAAACTATTGTCAGAATAAGAAATTTAAAATATTGAAATCTTCAGATTTTACCACATTAATAATACTCATTTTACAATGAAAAATCCCATTCTTTAAGCACATTTCGTTCGGGTTGAGAGTTAAACGTTAGTTGGTTGTAAAGGCTAAAACTGACTCCATCCATTTTTCGTGGGTGTAGTTTAATCATGGCTTTCTGACTGTGTAAAAATTAGAATGCTTTAGAATGCTTTTAGTTTGGTCACAATTTTTACGCAAAAATTTCAGATTTGACTTTATTCATACCTGTTCGGAAAAAAGATTGGACGACAACTTTGCGAGGCTGTAAATGAGCTAATATGCAGACAAAATATAAAATTTTTAGATCAGTTCATCTGTCAAACATTCGCGTTTACAATTCATGACATTTTGGTACATTTTCAATGCGCTCAGTGATGCAAAGAAATATAAAATGAAAAAACATTTTCTTGGCCTACGCTGTTCCATGTTCGATAACTAACTGAATCTTCTGTCAAGAAATTTCAAATTTTCACCATACATTTTTCATACTCTTATTCACAAATCTACAAAAAAACTGTTGAAATATTCTCAATATTTTAACGGCTACTTCGATTTGCCACATCAAAGTTAACGTCCAATCTTTTCTCCGAACAGGTTACATATTGTACATATGTCTATTGCATAGATTACTAAGAGTATCAAACAGTTCTGTCATTTTTTACCGATGACGGTTGCTTCGATTACAAATAAGTCCGACTAATTCTATTGACTCAATAATTTCAGATGGACAAGAGTATCAGTATTTTAGCTCGGAAATGAAAAGATCACTCGACGATCATAATTTAGTTTCATAGTTAACCATTGTCTGATATCATGTCATGCTTCCACCATGAGATATCCATAATTAAATGGATAAAAAATTGAACTTCATTTATAACAATTTTTCAATGTTAATAGTCGTAAATATGGAGATTAACGGATTAATGAGGAAATCTTAATCCAGAAGTTTCTATGCAAATTAACTTAACTTGACTCAAAGTGAGTTATCAGTTTGTGTTTGCAATCAAAATCCTAATATTACATAATTCGTCGTAATTCATAATTCAAATGAATTTCCCCAATGCATGTTGCACTAAGCTTTAGCATCAAATATTGGAAAGCTGATAAAATTAAAATTGATAGAATGCTGAAAATCATTATGAGCAATGAAACGCAAAAATTAATGATGAAAAAATTGAAGTGATAATATCATTCGATATTATTTATCTCATGAAAGAGTTTTTCCGAGAATATTCAATGTTAGTGAGATAATCAATTAATTTTGATCAAAGTCAATTAGGGCGACAATGACTGATCTTTTAATATAACACAATATCTCACACATTGTCGCCTTAAACATGGCAGAGATTAAATTTAATTAATCTTTTTAACACCTTTGCTTGGTCTTACTGGGATGGCTTAACGCCCTTTCCAATGCTGATAAATTAATTTTGCAAATAAAAATTTTCTTTACAAAGTTTGTCAATTTCAGATCAATCTCTCAGGTTTAAATTGAAAATTCAAACCACTTTCCTTCACCTAAATCTTACACATTAACAATTGATTCCAAGATGAAAATCGATGTCAACTTTTATTTTTTACTTTGTTTTCTTTGCTTAATTAACTCAATTCTTTGTGATGACTTCAAATGCCCTGTAAGGGGTAAAGTTGGTGAATTGAAAGTTCCAAATGTTCTCAGTTCGATTAATAAGCAAACTGGTTATCATGCTTCTGTTGAAGTCATTAATCCAACTCGAAAAAATTTAATTCATGATTATTACGATTGGAAAAATAAAGTTGGCTTTATTGACTTGGAAGCAACCATTCAAGGTAAAGTGAATCGATTTTATTATTATCATTCAACAGAGGAAAAGATTGCTGTTCGAGAAAATATGTGTAAAAGATTAGACTTGACCCAAGATGAGAAGATTGAATCGATAAAAGATTGGTTTGAACCATCTTCTATTGTCGCTAGTTCGTGGATGTTTAAAGACTTGGTTCATATGGGACCAACAGGATTGATGATCTATGCCCATAGTATAAGTGATAAAGCTTCCTTCATTGGAACTCAACTGATTGAAGGTCGAATCGTTAATCATTGGTTTTATTGCACTAATCCTAATGGACCTTACATCGACTTTTACTTTGATGTTAAGACCTCATTGCCTTATCGGTTCTCGTTGTATTATCCTGAATGGATTGAAACACGGGAGGCCATTTCAATAAATGAAACTCGAACAGTTAAAAAGCAAGTTGATTCCGAGTCAAAATATGTTTACAACTTTTTCATGTTCAAACCATTGGTCATATCATCAGATGATCCCATTCCATACCCATTAAGCTATGGATGTGCTCTTAAAGGTACCATCCCTTACACCCCATTGCCAGATTTTAGTCAAGTTAAAGAGTTTACTATGGACATGGAAGCGATAATCACTTATTCTGACCGTGACCCTATCAAATCAACGGCTCGAGTAATGAAACGAGGCGAAGTAATTTCATACGAAATCCAGGAAGGAACTGATTTCTTTCGTTTCATTGAAATGCCAACTTCTTTAGGAAGATTTGAAGTCGATAAACACACCGGTCGATGCCGTTATTATGTAAGTAAAGTAGATGATAAACATTTTTATCATGATACAGATACTCTAATCACCCGTTGGCCTTTACACCAAGATGATGGCTTCAATCTATTGTATTATTTGGTAATGAAACCACCTGAAGATCATGAAGTAACTTTCATTGGTGAGATACCTTTTGGACCTTTCCGAGTCCAAGAATACACAATTGAACACTTCTTCTTCGATTCAAGTACCGCAATTGTTGACTATTATTACATAAAGAATGCCACTAATTCTGTTCCGAGTAAAGTCATATTCACCAAAGGTCAAGCCTCTCCTAAATACGACCATGATATACACTAGAGTACTTCATAACTTGGTAGAATTTCGTGTTGGCGCCACCTATTGCATTTAACCATTTAAAGGGGTTTTTTAATTGTTTCAACCAAAATTACTCAAATTTTAGTACAAAAAGTTGAATTAGCGAGTCAAATTTACTAGATTAAGTAAAAATTTCTTGTCAAATAAATCAGAATAAGTCAATAACACGATAATTTGATTATTCAATAGAAAAGAACATTTTCGCGTCTTTATGAGAGTCAAGAGCTGGATAGACAAAAAAGACCTTTAGTTATTAGGAGATTAGGCTGATTAATTCTGCAGGAAACCCATTTTCCAGTAAAGTTTACATGCAAATTTAACTTTTTGACTAAATTTTAAGATATTTTCATCAAAATAATTAAATAATTGAACAAAAATGGTTTTAAAATGGTCAATCCAATAGGTGGCGCCAACACGAAATTCTACCAAGTTATGAAGTACTCTAGTGTACCTAGGCAAATTGAAGTAACCATAATTAATAGCGCAAACGATAACATTGACTATGAAGATGGATTCGATGTTTCTGGTTGTTATGAAGAACCAGGAAACTTCACTTGGTTTCAACTGCTCTTTTCAAATCCATGGACCAGTAACTTCAATATGCAAGAAATTAAGGAATCGACAGAAAAATATTTGACTTCATTCATTCCCATAACTCGCATTGGTCCAATTCATACACAAGAAGTTGATTCTAATATACAGGGCGTAACAGTCAAATAGCCGGTTTTAAATCGCTAATAACTTTTTCGTCCTTTGCTCTCATTTAAAATTTTTTTCGAATCCATAAAGTTAATTAGTCAAAATTTCTGATTCTGATGATATTTTATAAAATTTTCTGCGTCCTTCCACTCACGAGTTGTGACTCGTAGTCGATATACAAAACTTTCATTAAAAATAAGCTTTTTTGACTTTGAGCCTTTGTTGCGCCCTGTAGGTTCCTTTCTTTTCTTTGAAAGTTACCAAAAACAAAACTTTGACTAATGGACTATATGGATTTGAAAAAATTTTTAAATTCGAGCAAAGGACGAAAAAGTTATTAGCGATTCAAAACCGGCTATTTGACTGTTACACCCTGTATATGTTACTGTTAAGCTTTATGATCGTGTACATTTCATTGAGGCTCATAAGGATGAGCCAGAATATGCAATTCTCAACCCTTCAAATATTTTGCAAACATTTAAAGTCGAGGATTGTGAACAAATTTGCAGTGCGAATCCCGACTGTTATTATTTTAGTTATTGTGGTGATTATGAATGTTCAATGTTTGCAAGTCTACTCAATCCTCCAGAGAAAAAATACAAACCAGACTGCACATTTTATTCTAGATATATACAAGATATGTACCAAGGGTAACTGTATTAGTTTACAAAAATTACCTGTCGACCATGTCACACGTATTGCAACAGATAAGGAATAAAGTTGCATCAGGAAAATTTCGTTTGCCGATCGGTCTATCAGCTGAAGATTTGTTCGTTGTCAATGGACCTGAAGAGATTGGTGACATTTCCCAGCAACTGCATACAAGTGGTTCCAATCCGTTAAGAGTTGAAGATTTTCCAATCATTAAAAGTGATCGCCATTTCAATGAAGCACAATTCGAGATGCAAAATACTCTTCAAGATTGTTTCATGGCTTGTTTCAATGATGTTGATTGTAACACACTTTCATATTGTATTGGCCAGAATAAGGAATGCATTCTGAGTGGAGAAACATCGAGTTCATTGAAAGATACACTCGAAGACAAAACAAGTCATGCAGATGGATGCAACATCTATCAGAGTAAATATGTTAACATTTTAATTTGTGTTGCTTGAATTAATTTTGTTCAATTTCAATTTAGAATCATTTATGAATCTATTCCATGAGTATCCTGGCAAAAGTCTAGTTCTGGATGCCGTCTCGACCATATCTGATGTACCAATTGGTGATTGTGCTAAAAGATGTGCTCAGTCAAATGATTTCAATTGTGAATCATTTGATTATTGCCAAGATAATTATGAACGGTAAGTCGGAACTTAAATCAATGTCGTGAAATGCATCTGTTTGTCTAAAACGTCATGTTCAAACACATTGAGATAAGGTTAAAAAACGATTTGATGAATTTTACTTAATAACTTGAACTAAAACCTGGTTGAAAATGAATGATTAAAACACTATTAATAGTGATACTCTTAAGTTAATGTAATTTTATTTTTTATCCCAATTCCTTTCAGAAATGAATCTGTTTGTTTCTTACATGTCAATCACATTGAGATTGATAAAGTTCATCAAATAAATGCAACAAACTGGAAGTTTGCTGAAGCTGGATGTTCCCATTATTCAAGTAAAAACCTTTACTTTAATCAAATATTTATTTGAAATATAATATTTACTAATTATTCAATCTTTTGACTTTTCCAGAAAAATCTGAACTTGATTATGAACATAAAGTCGGACTTGCATTGAAAGATAACATGATAGAATCAATTGTTGGAACCTTTGACCATCTATCATTAGAACACTGTGCTTTCCAATGCAATACAGATCCCAATTGTTTCACATTCGAGTTTTGTGAAAAAATTAACAATCAGAAAATTGCCGGCAGTAGTGTTTCATTGACGAGTTGTTCATTGACAAACTTGAAACCACTTAATGCTAATCAATCTCAACTATTTGAACAGCCAAAAAAAAGAAACAAAATTTGCTCGATTTACATAAATAATATGAAGATTACAGGAAAGAGTAAAACTGATCCACAGCCATCCGAATTACCAACAAAATTAAATAATTTTAACTTAACATTTGGCTTGGTGACAATAGTATTCGTATTGGGCTTTGCTGGTGGATTCATTGGATTGAAAGTTGCTGCTTTTCGAGTTATTTCAGACAGATCTATCAGAGGGAAACGGGAGATGAATTTGCAGGACTCATTTAATCTTAGGTAGCATGGTACTTTTGGTATCTATTTATGTAGTTTATTTTGTATACCAGTAAATTAAATGTAATGTAGCCATCAGTGCTTCATCATACATCACCAAAAGTTTTTCAATTCTGTATTTCATTTTGTTGCTTGAGGGCACATTTCTTTTATTCATATTTTGTCAGAAAGTAATAAGAGGGCGGAATTTGCATAGGAAATAGATCTTTTTTAAATAATTTGTTTAGATGTAAACCATTCTATTTAATGGTTTTTTTAAACAACCATTCATTTTTTTGTAGTTGCTGAAATAAGTTATAAATGCGACAATCGGAACATACAAAGTTTCCAAAAGATTCGTAAAATCGGGACTCAATGATAATCAACCGCTACACAGAAGTAGTCATTAAAAGGGACAAGCTCTTTTTACTGGGACTGGGCAAAGTTTTCCGCTCTAGGACAACACCATCACCACGGTGTGCTTAATTAACTTTTTTAATACCATCATTCGATGGCCTTAATTAGCTTTTCTCCATTCTAGGACCATCTTGTGATGGGGTTAATACATAATTTGATGACCTTAATTAGCTTCCCCACTCTAGGACAACTACATTTTAAAAATTTTACATTTTGACTTCGAACAGTAAACATGACCTGGAAAAACGTTACTCTTTACAACGACTCAATATGCCTTAAAGTTTGCTTTGGTGACAAAGTCAAATGTATAGACATACGAGCCATTATTAATGCTTAATCAGGAATAATCAGGATAAATGAACTAGCAGGAATAATCAAGAACAGGGTAAATTTAATAGCAGAATTAACAGGAGGTATAACAGGAGTGATTAACAGGGCTGACTGGGCTAGTAATAGTTTTTCCCTATTGCAGTCTCGTCAATAATAGAGTATCTTTCCGATCTAACACTAAGTCGAGGACTGCGACTTGAACAATGATCGACTCCCTTTTTATACCTTTGACAAAGGCCAGAAAAGCTATGGAAAATTAATTTAGTAGTTTTAATTAATGCATTATTAATTATTATATTCCTAGAACGGACAAGTTAGGTACACCGTATGATATTCACATCGTAAGATGATCCTAGAGGTGGAAAAAAGCTAATTGAATGATGATATTAAAAAAAGCTGATTAACCACACCGTCTGATGGTATTGTCCTAGAGCTGACAACTGCACACTGTGCCAGTAAACTTGTACCAGACCCAGACCCTACTCTTTGAACTGCAGTGGTCCAGTTATGATGGATTGCTTCATATCACGAATGCTCACATAGATTGTGAAAAGTGAAACGCCTCCAACAGTTAAAAATCTACCATCAGACTCACAGTAACCTTTCATTATTTCGTTGAAACTGCGCCATAAACGGATTTCCTCTTAATATTGTCTTCTTGTTTTTGTTTTCTTGAAAAAACTTTCGAGTTTTAGATAGATACAGTAGATAGGTACAGCACATACAAGACAGATTCACTAATTTCGGTTTTTTTGGACTCATGATTAATTAAAAAGATGGTAAAACAATTGTGACAAAGTAATTTTAATGGATTTTTTATTATTATTTAATAAAATAAAATTATGGATGAGTTTGTTGTAGGATTTTATTTGGATTCTCAAAGCAACAATGAAAATGAAAGAATAATAAAGCGATCAACAAAAACCACAACAATGCTTTTCGATATATCGTATCCTCATATCGTTCTCATGTATGGATCAGGCTTGAGTCAGAGTGTAATTCTTCATTTCATATGTTTTTTTTGATTGTTTTGATTGTTTGATTTTTTGTTGTGTTCGATTTTGTTTTTTGTATTAGTACAGTTTAAAAGTTTATCTCAAAATTTATTATTATCTATGAGTTTCGAATTTTTAAGTTGAAATGACTATAATTAAAATAAATGAATACACGACAACCAAGGAAACAATAAAACATTTGACTTCTGGTTCAGTATGGTATTCTGATCAAATAATCAACCCTTTTTTTCGTCTTCTTCAGCATCTAATACAAGAATATATTGTGTTGACACGTTTTGGTATACGCGTTTCAAACCAAAGGTGGTCAAAAAACCAACCAAAAGAGGTAAGACAAAAAGCTAAGAAAAAAATTGGTAATGGTACGCGAGATCGAGACACCCATTGAATGGCCATCGCCGATCAGTGATTACGATTTAATGTTATTTCCTACGTATGAAAATTTACACTAGACGCTTATTGTTTTGGACAATCGTGATAAAACTGTGCATTATTATGACACCATGTCAAGCGATAATCCGGAAATACTTGAAGATTATAAAGTAATGATTCAACATTGTCACCCGAAATTCGCGTGAAAATTTATTAACCACACGAATATTCCTCAACAAGATGACCAAGACAGCTGTGGCCCATTTGTATGTAATTACGGGGCAATGGTCGTTTTTCATTATCTGACTGGTCTGCCAGAATTCGATATCCAGCATCAAAAAAATTTTAATAAGGTATGTTCTACAGATATTTTTAATCAACTTATTCTCTGCCTCAAATTGTCCTTAGCTTGAGAACATCTTGAAGTTGAATGTTAATTTTAAAATTTTTGCTTTTTTATTGCAGTCACATATAAAAGCAATGCAGCAACGACAAAGAAATGCTTTAATAAAAAAATCAACCACGACTTCGGATGAGATCACGATTTACCAACCGGAATCGGATGCCGAGAAAAGTTTGGCCAAAAATACTTCGAGCAGTGTCTCACAATATCAAGCTCTCGTGAAGCGTAAACGCGAAGAATACGAAAAAGAAACAGAAAAGCGACCAGAGTAAGTATAAATTGAATAAAAATCTGTTTTTATACTGAAATTTTTATCCAGGTTGGAAAGATCAAATGAGGAGACCTGGTTCGACTAAAGCAAAAGGAATTTGAAGAAATGAAGGCCATAAGTCAAAGGTGAATATACTTAATTTGTGTTTTTTGTTGTATTGTTTAATGGTCGATACTAAATTGATTCTTTTGCTTTCTTTCGTTTATTGCTTTTATTAGATCCGGGGCAAACTACGTTCGAAAAATAATTTGCAACTTTTTGAGGATTCGCTTGACAAACCATATGACTTTCGGCAGAGTAACATTACAGATCGTGAAAAAAGCTTCCTGATGAGCTTGAAGCAAATGCAACATGGAGTTTTGAAACTAATCCGTTTGACACTACTGCAAAGATAAACTTCCAAAGTGATCTTTCGCTTCAGGAGCAGAAAAAACATACTGTTAATGTATCAATTGAGCTTGCACTTCAGGAAACTGCTGAGATAAATAAAAGTGATGCTGAAGTTTCGAGCAGAAATATTGCAGAGGCCGTTGAAGGAAAAATGCTAACCGAGGATCACAATCAAGGAAATGATGAACAGAATTTGTAAGTTGCAATTCGTGATTAAGCTCATCAATAATACTAATGCATGTTTCTTTCTATTTTCAGTGAAAAAAGCGATCTACCGCTTCAAGAGCCTCAATCAAGCCTCAATAGGAGTTTTCTATCCATTTCTATATTACCCATAAAGATCAAGATAGAACAATCAATAGAAATGCGACATATATTTTACGAAAAGAAATCTGAATATAATGCTTGAGTAAGGTAGTGAACTCGATTTTTCAAGAGATACTTAACAGTACACAACTTATTATAATCATTATATTAATTGATTTCATCGCTTGAAAGTACACATCCAAACAGTTTTTGTAATAATTGACATATTTTGCGTATTATTAGATGTAATTTCAAATAATGTTATGGTTTATTGTTAGATGATTCATAAGAAATTCGGAATTTAGAGTTGTGAGTTGCGAACTTTCACGGACATAACAACTGGAACTATTTGATATCACAAGGTATTTGATTTGGTAACAAACTGTTAACCTAAACTGTAATCTTGTAGACACAAAACTTGATAACTTGAAGCGGCCCTTTCTCTGTCGCCATATGCAAAATAAGCCTTTGATTGTCGCCCATGAACTTTACCAATATATTGACCCGAATCAATTTCGGCTCGTGCTATTTGAAGATCATCTTTGAACTCGGAAAGACCTCCACTTAAAGCACCAATAGGTGCATGTCCATTAGTATCGGATTCCCATA